CCTCAAGGAAGCATCCTGGGTCCGCTGCTTTTCGTGGTTTATATAAACAACCTACCTGATGCTGTTATAAACTCGGAAGTAACGCTGTATGCTGATGACACGGTCTTGTACTACTTTTCCAAAGATCCACGGCTGCTTGAAGATAAGCTAAATGAGGATCTCCTAAGGGTTGCTCACTGGCTTCGTGAAAACAAGCTCACCCTGAACCTTGACAAGACTAAATCAATGATAATAGGCAGTAACAGGAAGCTCGGGAATGTCTCCTCGTTATCATTATCTATTTTTGATACTGATATTAATACTGTATCTAGCTTTAAATACTTGGGAGTAATGCTGTCTACAAATTTTACCTGGACTGATCACATTGAATATATCTAAGATATATCACATTGAATATATCTAAGATAAACAAGAACCTGGGTCTCTTACGCAGAATTAAGCATTTGTTGTCCCACCAAGCTCGCCTGCTTTTCTACAATAGTTTAGTCTTACCAGTTTTTGACTATGTTGACTTGGTCTGGGGGGACAAGGACAATCTTGTTTTGATGGGTGAGCTCCAAGTACTACAGAACAAGGCTGCGAAGATAATATTAGATAGACCTTTGTACTCATCGGCAACTGACGCGCTGTCAGCCCTGAAATGGCTCGATTTACGTCGACGCAGGAATTTCCATCGCTGCATTCATATCTGGAAGTGTGTTAATGGTCTTACGGAGCATTCTCTAGACATTCTTAAATGTAGTCAGATTCACAGTCATAACACTCGAAATAAGGACACAATAAGGCTACCTAAAGTCAAACGCAATTGGGGGAAACAACGCATTAACTATCAAGCAATCAAAGACTGGAATGATTTAGACAGTGATATAAGGAATGCTCCAACACTTATGTCCTTTAAGAGAAATCTTTTTTCTAAACTTTTAACCTAGAGCCTGCTTAGAACATCGTGACTTACAGTTTTAGACTTTTGACTTTTAACTAGTTTTAGATTTTTATAATTGCATGATTATTTGTATATATAATGTTCCCTTGTGTAGGACCTTTGTGAAAATCACGTCATATGTGACAAAGCTTTCCTCATTAAAGATTATTATATATATAAGAATTGATATTAATAGTGATAATTTTAACTTTGCATCACTCTTGATAAATTTACAATTATACCCATGCAGCAAAACTCCACAAACACCAACGCTATCAAAACGTGGGTTACTTAAGACTCCAGTTGGTACAACTCCAAACCAAAGACGCAAAACATGGTGTTTTACTGAACCCAACAACAAGTCGACAGCTGTTAGAACTCCTTGTCGAAGACGAAGTGGAATTCTTAAACATGGAAATTTGACTGAGAAACAAACAAAGAGAAGTTGCTCCTTTATTCTTCGGAACAAAGACGATTTGACTAAACAAATTGCTGGTTTAACATCTTCAGACAGTTTTACGTCACACACAAGCAATGGAATTATGTTAGCAGTTGAGGAAGAGAAAGTTCTAAGATCTTTGGAAAAGTGTTATGAAATGTTTGAGGAGGTAATATGATAAAAAATAAATTTTTCGATATTAAATATATTCAGGCCTAATTGTAACCATGCGGGAATATTACGTCACGGCCAAGAAATCTACTAAGCCCCCAGTCCAGATTCCCAAGGGGCTAAATACTAAATACAGGAAATACAGTATTCTTTTTCAGGTACTGTAGTTCAATTATATGCTAATGGTACATGTAGGTACTGTAATTTGGGGGTTGCTAATGTGCGAGCCTGCGAGCCCGAGCTCGAAACCATATGGATTAAGGCGTATAAAATACGGTCGTAAAATAAGGTCGGAACCATATGGAATAAGGCGTAAAATACGAATGATGCTGCACATTAACTTAAGGCTGTTTTCCAGTTACGTGTTTTTTACAAGTGCGTTTAAATCTTTTCAAAGTTTCATATAAATACAAATCCTATAACCTTAACAAACATACATTTAATCATACACAAAACTGAATGCTGCCAAATTAAGCAGCATTTAGCTATATTACGCGAACGATTATAGCAATTCGCCAGACATAAGAAAAGGTTTTAGAACTAGTGTACGGTCATATACAAAAAGGTGTGTAAAACTAATTGTATTTAAAATTTTGATTAAAGACGCCATAGGGTTTTGTTAAATCGACTGTTGTTGTGTCTTAATTCAGTTACTGTAAATGTAATATTTTAAGGTGTCTGGTTTCAATTTGGTTACCATCATAGAAATAATAGATATAGAATCGTGTCTCCGCAAAATTTCGGTTTTCAATAAGGGCATTTCAAGCACGCTTATTTTTGTATCTATTGGTGCAACCGGCTAATGCTGAATACGAATTTGGCATCCATTTTATTATAAAAACTTTCCAAAAGCAAATATAGAATGGCAAGAGATTGTATTCTCCGGATGACTACCACGATCAAATTCAAAATGGTGGTTTTCTAAGGATAAGGTGGAGACATGATGCGCATTTTATATCTATTATTTCTATGCAGTCGATATACTGACGTTTTCATCCAGTCCAAACCCGACGAAGATGTGTTAGCGACAGCTAGGGACCAATTGGAAATCAGGCATAGTATACTAACGGTAACCATTGAATGCTGGTTAACTTTTATTATGAATTATTTCGGAACTTATAGTTATAGCATGGAAATCCGCGAGATTGTTTTGCTATAGTGCTGGGGTAAACATGATAGTCTTATATGTGATGGCAAGTAAATAAATTTCTGAGAAAAAAACAATTTGTTATTTCTGAAATTAGTTTAGTTCCATGCAGAAACCTCAAATGCACATGCTGCGAGGCATGATTAAAGCGCAGTCATTTTTAAATAATGATACCGCCTGATAGGATGTGCTTTGAATAAATGAAAATAATTATAACCTCAAATATAGAGATTAGAGAGGCTTGTAAAGGTATAAATAAAGGCTCGCAAATGAAAGGCTCGCGGCTTGCAAATGAGAGGCTCGGGCTCGCAGGCTCGCGCATTAGTCAACCTCCTGTAATTGTAGATTATCACCTATAGTATACTGGACCCCCACGTTTGAAACATCATTTTAATCTCTTTCAGCATGATAATTATATAGGTCAGAAACAACCACTGAGTGTGCTTATTTTTGTTGACGTCCAAATTCAAATGGTTGATTTTCAATCAATGTATATTTGTGTCAACTGAATTTTGTTTTCTGTTCCTTCATGTAAACTATATCACAGTGACAGACACTTGCCAAATATGGGAGGGGATTACGTTGCAAACATGACCATACACCTTTTATAGCCGGAAATCTAATTTACGTAAACTGTTTTGCCTTAAATATCACGTGCTATATACTGTATCTTAATTTTTAGCCTTAATGGTTGAAAAATTATTGTTTCAGCTTTGTTACACATGCAGTTATTCAGCTACAGGTATCATGCATTCAAAGGCTTTGAGAAATCATTGGGGGGAAGCATTACCTCCCTTCTTAGTGTCCGTCAATGCTGTATCAGTTGTTATTCTTTAGAATGTTTGCACGCAAGAAGAAATTGTGTTTAGTCTTGATGATATCCAGCGCGAACATCCCAATGTATTACGACATGCTCTATATTGGATCTGCAGAGCAAAACTGGCTGAGAACGTTGGGGATCATGAAAGAGTTGTTTGTATGGTTGATCAGGCATCCGGCTTTTCTGCACAGGTAATAATAACCATTTTAGAAATATATTTTGGATACAGTTTGGATACAAATAATTATATCATTTCTGCAGGCAAAAATTGATTATAAATAATAATTTATAATTCAAAGTGCGATAATAATAATTGCGTAGTGACACCACTGTTACGTTCTGGTACTTCTTTGTTTTCAGTCAAGTACCACATACTGTAGGTACGCGATACCCTCGCTGTCTGCGTACTTGAATGTTGCTGGACCGCATGACCAGTGAACTTTCCAGGGTATTCAAAACCGCAAATTTGGACATCTCCTGACATGAAACGTGATTGGACTGATGGTTGGGTTTTCCAGTCTTGCAAAATAATGCAACGTGATGGTCTCAAAATTGATAATTTACTTCATGAATTTTATCAAGAAATTGTTTATTACTACAAATTTCCCGAATTCCTAAATCACCCAATGCATAATGCTTCAAGATGATATGGAGAACTTTTTTCATGTTTATTATTAATATATTTATTTAATTAATCTGTGTAGCCAAAAGAATTAGTTCAAAAGTATTTTGATGAGTACAAGTCAAGGAAACAAATTGAAGATAAAAAAGGTATAGTCGCGACAGTTATGTTTTCAAATTATTTAGCCCACGGCCCCACAATAACCTTTGATTTGTATACGAGTATTTGGATCACTCAGTCGTGCATATGCTGAATCAGTCAATCAGCTGTCACTGCATGATTGAGACTTTACAGTTTTTCGCGTTCGTGCAAATCTCTGGCCGTAATCTTTCACTTATTTTTGCGTTTCCATTTAACAGTAGTGGAGAGTCCCGTGCAAGAGGCAACATTTCGCACACCATACAAGACACCCTCTCGGGAGCTATCTAAACTTGATGGTGAAGTCTTTAATTCTTCAGTCGTGAGGTTTTGTTTGATTGACTCAACCCCTGCCAGAAACAGGTTTGTACTGTGTATAAAATAGGCCTTTCGTGCTAAATTGTAAATGCTTCTATAGCAAATTGCAATAGCCCTAACCCTCGACTTGGTGTTATTGACAACAAGAGCGTAATTGCATGGGAAATGGTGTATTGCATTCCTTCTTGTTCTAACTTGTAGTTTCAGGTCACTGAATACGTTTTAGAGAACGATGTAATGTATTTTATCTTAAAGACTAAGTACACTTTGGGTCACAACTAAAAATCATTAATTATCGCACTCTAAAATATTGAAGTGTGAAGTAAAGTTAACTTAAAATATGTTTACTCATGCATTTGAATAATGAACTGAATGAATGTAACTTTAAAGAGTCGGAGTGGAACTTCATCTACTTTGCCTTTAGCTTGAAGAATTGTGGCCAAGTTACCGTTCGGGGTTTTTGATTTTTTTCAAGATTTTTAGGCGGCACCAAAACTCAATCCTGAATTTACTTAACATCTCAATAAGTTGATAAAAAGTTTCAGGACACAGCAAAATGAAGCAGTATAGCCCTGGTTGAAACGAGGATATGAGTTGCAACTTTTGGGATTGTTTCAAGAGTTTTATTGATTTCATACAGGGCTCAATATAACGGTCGGCCACCGGTCATTAGCCAAGCAAAATGCTGATATGGCCGTCTACTGATTACTCTGCACGGACATTATGGCTAACCGTTTTGTCTCATCAATTTGAATATTTCTTCCGTTATTGTTGCAAGTCTTTTTAACAAAATCTGTGATCTGCAAGCAAAGATTCCGTCTGCTAGACAATCACAGAATCTGAATTCGTGCCGATCCACACAATAACACTATGTATAATCTCGTCAATTACAAGAAATTTATATCAGTCTGAATTTCCAGTGATTTTTGAAATTTGGACGATTCGAAAAAGGAGACTTGATTCCTACTTTCGAAACAAATGTTTCCTTACACGAAAGACACTTTTTATCTTGTGTATTACACCCGTTTTCAAAATTACGCGTCAAATTACATGTCAGTTTTATGTCATGCGGTCACGAAGTTCAAATTGTTTACAACTTTGAGTTTTGCGGATCATTGTCGATGTATATGCTTTGTATGCTTTATATAAAAAGTTTTAAGAATGATTTTCAAGATATTTTAGTGAAAATTATTGCAAAAATTAAGCACAACAAAATCATAATATTATCGCTATACTATACTTATAGTCTTAGCGCAAACGGGTTTGATGCACAGTTAAATTCGATTATTCGAGGATAACTTATTCTTTTTCAAACTTTAAAAGTCATTCACGACACAGATTTCTGTCGTGATGGTTTGTGACTTTGTAGTTTCTTTTAGCATGTACAGGGTATCTAAAAAAACGCTTCGGAAATTCAACAGGCTGTCATGCATCATAAACGTGGCTAAACAATTCAATTTTACATAGGACGAAAGAATAGTTATTTTAGCTTTTCAATGATACTCTTTTTAAGTCGTAACGATGAGAAATGGCCACATACTCGTCAAATAAAAATTGCCGGTCGAAATCACATTCTTCCACCGTTGGGAATTGCATCGAAAACGAAACATAAACAATTCCCAAGAGGGAATTAAAATTGATTGTTATATAGTTAGTGTCAAAGTTCAATTTTTCTGTTTGCCGATTGGTCAAAACCGTGTCACGTGCCGGTCCACAAAACGTCATGTTCGGCAACCGGTCCGCAATGAAACATTTACTGACCGGTCAATAATAAATTGGGTGAAATACGCATGCGTGTCAACCATGAAGTTCCAAAGTTCATTTTTTAAACTTTTTACTAAACATTTACAGCGTTCCATTTATCCAGTTTTGGTTTCAAATTAAGTTCACTCCAATAACCGGTGGATTATTCATACTTTGACACTTATTTACTATATAACAAAACACTTATTTACTGAGATCTCGGGAAAGCAGTGTGTTTTGTGGCGGTCTCGGGTCCACAAAACACACTGTTTCCCTCGGTCTCAGTAAATAAGTGATAAATGTTAAATTATCTAAAATAAGCTCAACTCGTCAATCTTCGTCTTAGTGAGACAATAACTCAATACGAATTTGGTACGAAACATGGTTCAATTAACCCCTGAACAGAGAACATTCGTTATCCAAACGTTTTATGAAACAAATAGCTTGCAGCAGGCTCGCGTTGCTTTTGGATTGACTAACTTTGCATAATTAATGTATTTTCAATTCCCAATGGTGGAAGAATGTGATTTCGACCGGCAATTTTTATTTGACGAGTGTGTAGCCATTTCTCATCGTTACGATTTCAAAAAGGTGTCATAGAAAAGCTAAATAACAGCTCTTTCTTCCTATGTAAAAATTGAACTGTTTAGCTACGTTTATGATGCACAACAGCCTGTTGAATTTCCGTAGCGTTTTTTTAGACACCCTGTATATCTATATAGCTCATTTTTGTTCATTATTCTCCACTCTACAGACTGGGAGCGACTGACACTAACTTACTTTTGTCCTTACCTAAAACTGGGATACTACTATTAGTCTATAGTACACATTGATGCTTGGTTGATAAGAGTGTAACCTGTTCATATTTTTTCGTGTATTGTGTAATTTTGTTAACCATTATGCATATGCATATGGTTTTGGACTATTGGTAGTTGTTACGGTTTTGGTTTCTAGTACTGACAACGTCCATATTGAGAATAATTAAGTGTCATGTCCGACCAAAACATGGGTTGGTCTGACACAATTTCAGACCAAGTTTTCAGAATAATATTGAGCTTTGATTTCTTAGGGTTTTTCGAGTTGTATACAGGATGTTTTTGAGTGATACACCCCTAGCTTTTTCCCACGGAAACTCGAGCTTCTTCGAAAACATACCACAAGCTTCTACAAGCTTCTTTACTTTACTTCAAATCAAGCAATTTCATCTTTTGTAAAAGTGTGTAAAAGCTTAACACGGGGCTTCGCACCCGAAGAGATTGCGCGCCCTAACTCAATCTAATGTGTAAAGTGGAGCAGGCAAAAATTGCAGCAAAAACACTTTATTACAGTATTTCGTTATTTTAATAGCATGTTGAGACTACTTTTTATCACTTTTTATTTCAGAAGGAAGTCTGCGTCAGAAAAACGCGTCTTGACTCCGGTTCGAAGGACCACGCGTTGGGAACGTTGCGGGATTACACATCCAAAGACAATTGAAGAGAATAGAATAACCGTAGCTTCGTTAAACGAACTATCCAGTCCAATACGATCTACCATTGTCTATAAACCGAACTCACTTCTTCCCTGCCAGCTTGATGAAGAAATGCGAAATCTTGCAAACATTGATGAGTCTTGAAACCATCAAAAATCACTTTGTCATAATTGATAAACAAGAAGCAATGTTCTATCAATAAATTTAAATTAATAGTACTAGGCTTCTGTTCTTGAACGTACTGTAATGACCGTTTCAAACGTCCAACATTTCATGTGCCGAATCTAATGTTAACGAGCGTCTAAAATCTCCCATTATTTAAACATTAGGGGACCCTGTACTGTGATCTAAAATCGACCATATTCTGCTATTCAGCCATGGTTAATCCCAATTTGCTCCCACCTTTTTTCTGGTAATGCTTCCAACCAGTGATAAATTTAGCGGTTTATAAAGCCTACCGCACACGAGAGAAAATTGCTGAGCTAACCACTCGCGTATATAGGGGGTTAGCCCAGCTATGCATTTTCACCGCACACGTTGGAAAAACTACTCAACAGCAACGTCGTTGATAAGATCGTTTGCATTTCCCTCCATTGTCGCTATTTTGACCAAAGTCACGTGACTCACGTTAAGAAACTATGTGTTCTCATCAATTGGGGGGAACGCAGAGTTATGATGTGGAGAGTTATCTTGGAGAGTTATGATTTCTGAGAGTTATGTTCGAACCATGCCCACTTCCCCAACTACCACACCCAATTTCTTAACTCTCCCGACGTTTCCTTGAACTAACATGAGAGAGTTATGTTTGACGTAACTCTCTCTCGTTAACATTATGAAGATGTTAGAGAGTTATCATTTTTTTATAACTCTCTACGTTCATGATTATGGTAATGAAGAGAGTTATGTCAGTTTTTGGAAAAAAAACTTCCACGTTTTAGTAAATTTTTGTAAATTTACTTTTCTCAAGTTTAAGCTTTAACTTTTACGACTTATTTGCACATTTGCAGGGGATTTTAGCCTGCAGGAGATTTAGTTTATGAAACTGTTTCTCTCGTTGTTTGTTTACTGCTATAAAAGCAACATTTGAACGGAAACGAGAATGACTACTGTGATTTCCTCGCACGCGATCAAATCTCGTTCTCGTAGTCGCTGCTAAAGCTCCCTAATGAGACGACTCACGGACACAAGAAGCAAATGAAGCAAAGCGAGCAATTTCACTATCTTTTCGAACTAATATAATTGAAATGCTTTTTAAATTAGACTAACAAATGTGAAACAGCATGGGCTAAAACTTTTCATAAATTGAAAATCCCAATTCAACATTGACAAATACTTTAGTTCACATGACATGTGAACTAAAGTATTTGTTCCTAGTTTTTATAGAGTATGCATGACTGCAAAATATTGTGTAGTTAGTATGTCAGTATTGAGTTAGTATTGTGAGAGTATTGTTAAAGTGCTTATGAAACGAAATTTTTACCTCATTTTTTATTGTCTTATTAAAAGGTAGTTATTATTATTAAAGGTTCTTGCGTATGTAGTTGCTCATCGATACATCCTCCGCCCCCATAAAGGGAACTCTTTATCTTCATTCTTCGTCACCCTCCGCTGGATGGATTACTGCAATCCTTTGGACTGCTCTGGAATACTCTCCCGATGCGGTTTTTACATTCACGATTCTAACTTTCTTATCGTTTCCTGGGTAAACTTCTATAACACGTCCGACTCTCCACTTTCCTCTGATTGCCGTCCCATCTTGTACAACGACAACATCATTCACTCGTACGTTCCGTCTCTCCGAGTTCCATTTCTTTCTTGGTATCAATAACGGAAACACGTCCCTTGTCCAACGCCTCCAAAACGAATCTACGATCTTTTGGACGAACTGAACTCGCTTTCGTGGGTTCTTTGTTTCTTGGAAGGGTCCTTGCGGGACCTTAGGCGATGCTCTCCCCAGCAACATGTCATTGGGGCACAGGTAAGCACCGTCGTCAGGATCACTCGTAGGTCTTCCGATGGGTCTTTGATTCACCAGATTTACTACCTCGAGCAAACAAGTATACAGCTCGAATGGGGTTAAGATGTATTCACCGATAGCTTTTTTAAGGGCCAACTTGCAACTCTTCACTAGTGCTTCTGCTGTTCCATTCTGGTGGGTTGCTGCAGGGGTAATGAATTTCCACTGTACGCCTTTGTCGACACAATACTCTCGCAATATCTTCTTACCAGTTTCTTGAAGCATTTTCTTCAGGTCGGTCAAAGCTCCAACAAACTGCGTCCCGTTGTCACTCATAATCATCGCGGGATATCCTCGAATAGAGAAAAATCGTCTGAGTGTCTGAATGAACTCCATTGCTGAGTAATCTGTTGCGATCTCTAAATGCACGGCTCTTGTATTTAAACACGTGAAGATGACTCCGTAGTGCTTGGTTGTCTTGTTACGGCTAATCTTGACAGTCAACGGTCCGAAATAATCACATGATACGTAGTGGAAGGGTATGAGGTGCTACTCGGAACGGTGGTAGGTTTGCCATCAACTGACTCTCGACTTGTGGGTTTATTTCTTTACAGACTACGCAATTGGACTTGATTGTCTTTACCAAGTCATGCACTCTGATGATCCAATAGCGTCTTCTAGTCTTTGCAGTTGTCGTCGCGACACCCGAGTGCCCTATTCTGTGAGCCTCCTCTTAATCAATCGCGAAACTCTATGATCGTAAGGTAGTAACGCGGGATGCTTTGTCTCGTATGAAACTAATGCATTTTCGACACGTCCGCCGACTCTGATGATACCTTCTTCATCTTCAAACGGAGAAAGTGTTCGGAATTCTTTCTTTTCAGGGGATCCTTTAGGCCTTTTTGTGCTTCCTTTATCCAGACCTTTCGACTTTCCTCGAGCTCGTTCGGAGTCAACTACTCTTCAGCTACCGAATTCTCTTCTCGAACTCTTCGTATCTTTGCCATAAGCTTATTCTTGAATTTTAACACCCATGCCGAAACGCGTAGGAGTCTTTTCCAGCTTGTCAAATAAATGAATAATCTTTGCATTCAATCATATTCTTTAACTGCTTCAGTTGTCACCATTCCAACGGTTTTCTTCTTTATACATTCACGCTTGACTTCGGTTGCATCAGGTTTGCTATCTTCTTTCGGCCATTCCCCAATTGTTTGCTCCCCAATTGTTTGCTTTAAGAATTCTGGACCGGTCAACCAACGTCCAGACAAATCAGGAACAGACAACCTGCGGGATACATCAACAGCAGGATTTTGCTCAGTTGGAATGTGTTTCCATTGGACCGGTTTCACATTGCTTCGAATCTCTCCATCTCGACTTGCTACGAATGGTTTCAGACGCTTTCCGTTATTCTTTATCCAGGCCAAGACAATTGCACTGTCCGTAAACAGGATACTTTCTTGGAGCTCGATCTGGATTTCTCGCTCGATCGATTTGCACAATCTGCTCGCCAACACAGCTGCTTGGAGTTCCAAACGTGGGATGGTCAACTCTTTCAAAGGGGCTACTCTGGACTTGGCTGCGATGAACTTTACTTTAATTTCACCCGAGGAGATTTCACTTCTAAGATACACGCACGTTCCAAAAGCATCTCGCGATGCATCTGCAAACACGCACGGAATTGGCGGCTCTACTACGTTTCGTGGACAAATACATCTCTCGAACGATACGCCATTCAGCTGCTTCATTTCTTCGAAGTATGACGACCATTTCTTCTGAGTACTCGGGGCAAGCTCGTCATCCCAGTCCACACCTTCTTCCCATAACTCCTGGAAATTTATCTTTGCTCTCACGAGAAAAGGCGCGACAAACCCAATTGGATCGTATATTCGAGCGATTTGGCTGAGTATCTTGCGCTTGGTCAGATCAGTAATATCGCATTTCACGGCTTCAATTTCGAACTTATACTTTAGGACGTCTTTCACGCTGTCCCAGAATACACCAAGCACTTTCGCATCGGTTTGACTTTGTGGCACCTTGATTTCATTCAATTCCGTTTTACGCTCTTCTAGGTCTTTATTTGAATGCCATCCCTTTACTTTTAATCCACCTGTCTCCAGAATTCTGTCTACTCCGCTTGTCAGTTTCTTGGCTTCTTTCTTCTTGTCAACTGAGTCAAGAATGTCCTCCATATAGGTGTTGTTCTTAATGGTTCGTGCAGCTTCCGGATTACTGCTTTCTTTTTCCTCTACCGTCTTTTGCAAGGCGATCTGAGCCATAGCAGGTGCGGGCTTGTCACCAAACGTCAAAACATTCATTACGTAAATGTCCGCCGTCTGTCTGTTTCCAAATTTCGCCAAAGGAATCTATGCACGTGTCTGTCCTCCTCCACAGGAATGAGAACTCGATGATACATCTTGGATATGTCAGCGGTTACAGCGACCTCTTTCTCTCTAAAGCGTAGTATAACTCCGAAAAGATCGTTCAATAAATCGGGTCCCTTTCGCCAATATTGATTGAGTACATGGCCTTGATATGACGATGACGAGTTGAAGACTATGCGAACAGGTGTGCTTGTACTGTCTGGTCGGAGAACTGCATGGTGCGAAATGTAATGAACCGGACCTTTGTACTCTTCAATCTCCTTTGTTGTCAACTTGCTCGCGAAGTTCATTTCTTCCATCTCGACGATTTTACGATTATTGGCGTCGGCCTCGTTTGGTTTCTTCAACAGTTGTCGTTCATTAGATTCCAGACTAAACACTGCCTGCTCTTTATTATCAGGTAGCTCAGCGGGATTCCTTTTCCATGGATACGGGATCATCCATTGGTCTTCAACTTTTCTGGCGGATTGTTCTATCAGCATCTTTTCTTCTCGATCTACCTGGTTTAACTTGTTTGCATCACAGACACAAGGGTCAACTTGGACACCCATTGCTTCTGTTGTCCAAAAATCAGAAAGGTCCACTGGAGAAGTTACCTTCACATGGAGAACAGTTGTTGTCACATTACTTAGATCACCTGACGTCGAACCAAATATCCACCTAACCCAGAGGAGACTTTCTTGCAACCATATGGTTAACCTCTCTTGTCTGACCAGTATGCATATGTGCATGATCAATTCCCACGAGAAGATCAACATGCCCGTTTCCCCGTCTGACTTTCTCCCTCGATAGGCTGAACTGCTCTGCCAGTGCACTCGATCGGACACCTTTAATTTCGTCACTGATACATGGGATTCCAATTGCTCTAACCACGTACTTCTTCTTATCATCTATTCCAGTCACACTCACTTTGTACACTTTTGTTTGAATTTCTTCTTCTTCTCCTCCAACCTTTACGATATTCACAGTTATATCTTGACCATGCAAACGTAGACTGTTCGCAGTCTCTCTTCGAATTAAACTAATTTGGGCTCCGGAGTCAAACAAAATGTTTCCGGGCTTGTGCACTCCATTAGATCCACAGATATTGGCAGTGATTACTGGTAACATTGTGTTCTTTTGCTCAGAAAGGGAAGCAACACCGATATGTGTTGTTCTGGATTTGTGCAACAATGGATAGTTAGTTGAAGTACATTGATTTCCGCTTTCGACTTTCGTACATTGCTTGCGTCTGCTGCAATTCGCTTGTCGGTGGTCTCGGCCTGCCTTCTTTAAACAGCTGAAACATGCATGGTTGGTCTTCGCTGCGCTTATTCGGTCGTCTACACACCTTGCTGCGAACTTTTCACATTGGTCTCGCCAGTGATTCGAGTCACTAGAGAACCAGCATTTGTGTCGGATTTTACCACTAACATCAGCCTCCCCGTAAACCGTATTGACTTGTCGACGATTGGAACTACTTCGAACTGGAGCTGTGGCCCGCATTCTCGACTTCATTTCTACCGTCATCCAGTTTATCAGGTTATTCAACATAGTTGATTTTGCTTCACGCTCAAGATCTCTAGACCACACTTTACGGTCATCAGGGCACATCTTTCGCTCAATAATGGAAAGCATGTGACTATTGTCCACGTCATTAGGGATTCCCACTTCCTTTAGCGTATTGTAACATCGTCTCACTAGATGTACTAGGTCGCAGAATCGGGCATCTTCCCCATCACTTAGTGGTTTAAATTTTACAATGTCCTGCGTAATAGTGTCCGCCACAAACCGGGGGTCCCCATATATAGAATCCAGGTATTTCCATGCCGCATCGTAATCAGATCCAATACCTTTTATCAACTCGAGTTACTAGTCCTTTAAACAAGTGCGCAACAGGGTGATAGCGTCTCTTTTAACATATCTAGACTCAATGGCGTGTTTGAAATCGGCTCGAAAAATCACATATTCACGGACATCACCAGAAAACTTGGGTAATTTGGGTTTCTCCATCTGAAACCCACAGGGGGTAACGCTAGAAACAGTTCCCACTTTGTCGTTTACTTCAGATTGGCTTTGACTCTGTTCAGGGTTGCTTTGTATAGACCCAGATGGGCTGTTGATAACTGTTTCTTTATTGGTATTAACGGGGCTTGCTTGGGGAATTTCAATCACACTGCTGTTTTTGCTACTGGTACTTGGCTGGCTATTCTCTGTATTTGCTGGGTTCAAATTACTTGCACTGTCTAGGTTTTGCATTCCTAACATTTCTGACGCGTTTTGCTCGTTTATTTCTACATTATTTTCGCTATTCGTGACAGAAACCTCTTCAATATAACGTTTAGCATCAATGTCAAGCTTAAGAAAGTCATTTTGACAATCCTCTAACCATTGTTCTTCCATCTCAAAGTCCTTATCCTCGACTATTAATTTTGCGTACTCATCATGTTTCAAGACAACATTATCAAAGGCATGCTTAATTTTAACAAGGTAATTGCTTACCTCGTCCACTGGTCTTTTCTGCTCTTGTAGTACGACCAAGGCTTTTCCCAATCGCGTTAACGTAGCGTTCGCAGTTCGGCGTTGTATTTTCGCTGTCTTCAGAGATTCTTCGCAGCGGTACTCATATTCACAATTCACATACAGAACTTCCACGCATATCATTTACAACGCATATAATGTTCCCCGAAATCGAATGTTGTGGAATATCAGTAACAGAACGCAATACACGGAATCGTATAATTTGTGGAATATATATATTTTGATGGAATTATGATGAATTATGTTGAATTATTCGATCTATGAAATGAGAATTAACAAAATATGGCTAAATATAAATAGATTACATGTGCTTAGCTGTCATATTCGCATGCTATGTAAATTACATATAAATCTTTATCTTTACTTACTTCTTGCTGGGTTTCCGCGTTCTACATATCTTTAAACAGTCTTAAATCACGAATTATCATTCACAGGTTAGCAAACAGAACAGGATAAACATAAAACAGTTTTACACACACACACATGCTCTCACATACAGACTACAGTTCATATCATATCATATTACCTAGTGAACCTCGTGCACCTAATTAAATGTCAATCAAAGTAAATCAAGTTATCAAAGTTAATATTATTAAAGGTTCTTACGTATGTAGTTGCTCATCGATACATATTAGTCACCAGGTAAATGAAAGTTCAAATGCTGGTTAACAGATCTCAAATGTTGTATCGCTGCCACACTTTACTAGCCCTTACAATCTCGTTCCCAGAGTATGCCTGTTCGCGGGTTATGTAGTGGCATGACTAGCTGGGGCAAACATGGTCTCTCGTTTCCTATGATGATATATGACACGCACATACAGGCGCGTATGATGCAATGCATTATATAGGCGTTCAATCTCACAACAGTCCCAGGCTCCAGATTTGAGCGACGTAATTTGTAAAAGACAAGATGGCGGACAGTTCTCGTAGTACATGCGGCTAAATCGAGGAATGCACATTTGACATTTGCCCGATGCCATCTTGAATCATTATTAACTGGGGACATCCGTGGTTATCTTATGATAATAGACATAATAATGAATTAGTAAATTAGTAATCCATTAAAGTGCTCCTGTATCCCTTGTCTACATCCGTAGTTTATTTCTATTGTCAGCTGGGAAGTAAACACGCGATAAAAAGTTTTCTTTATTAAATTGACTAGAGATATTTACTATGAAAAGATGCTGATTTTTATGGCGAATTCAATGGTGTTCTCCCATTTTCCATCTACTCTGTACACAAATTCCTATAGTAGGGTAAAGACTCGAGTTTTAGAGTATTTGTAGTTCCTGACGTTCGCAATCTATGTGTATTATTACGCAGTTGCCAGGATTAATTCGTTCTTTGTTATTGAACTGACAAGTAACTCGACGCAACGTTTCTTTTATATATTAAACTTGAATTACTTGACGTAAAATGAATTACGTCTGCTTTCAATACACACAGATATGAAATAGAATATAAAAAAATCGCAAGTCTCTAAATGTTAACTGTAAACTCTATGAACGTTCGCATATAATGAATTGGTTTCGCGCCAAAACTGTCCGTGCAGAGTCTGGGTTCTAAATTGTGAAATGAGCCCACAGTTACAGTATTAAAGGGCGAATATCTTGGTTCAGTTTTTGAATGAAAAAGGAAAACTAGGGCTGTTGATACAGAATTTCATGCAGAATCGAAAGGTATTTTTCGGAATTTCCATCTACCCTGCACACAACTATGTGCTCACTATACGAAAGTAAATTTACGTGCCAGAGACTAAGTGTCGATTAATGCATACAAATCACTGTGAAAAATGTCGATACGCGAATTGGAAATGCTGTTATTTTGTACTTTCGATCGGTTTATTTTCCTTTATATGAAATCGAAATTTAAAATAAGTCATTTAATATGATTATTTACGATTTAAAAGCATCAATAGTGTATTTATTGTGATTTTTGCTGCTGTAAACTAGCTTTATTTATGTACTATTTAAAAAACGAGCAGGAGTGTTTTATTAGGTTTAAAGCCACGAGCGCGCAGCGCGGGTGGCTTTAAACCTAATAAAACACGCCCGCGAGTTTTTTAAATGACTTCAAAAACGTATGCATAATAAGTTAAATCTTTATATAAAAATCTTTATATAAAAATCTTTATATAAAAATCTTTATATAAAAATCTTTATATAGTTTGCATAACAATGGTCTTTTGTTAAAGTGTTCTTTAGCTGGTATAAAGACGTATGCACGTGACTAATTTCTTACTCAAGATTGGATAATTGCTTCATGAATTATTAATGAGTTTTTGAAATACATATAAACAATTTAGTATTTAGGCACGTGCGAGCGACAATTATCCAATCAGAATCCAATATTTTCATTTTCCCGCGAATACGTTTGTGTTGATTGCATCATTCATGATAGATACTATGACATCATAACTGAGACCCAGGTTATTGCGCGGAATTCAAGATGGCGTCGGGCAAAAGTGCATTCCTCGAAACCCTATGATTTAACCGCTAGTCTGCCCTCATATGCTGCCCTCTTGTACCGCCATCTTGGATTTATCATGTAGGCCCCGCCTGCGCTAGGTATGCGTCAGCAATCTAGATCTCCTATATCTATGTTGTAGCCTTTATGGTTATTTTAGGTAGGGTGTACCACAGGCGGCCCAATCTCAGAATGAATGATCAGGTGTTGCGGGTTTTTAACAGTTTTTTTAAACAAATTTTATATACTCAACCAAAACTATTCTAAAAACATTCTTAAATTAGTCAAATAAATACATTTTGACAATAAAATTGATAGTTGACATGATAGTAAATACCTTTGCATTTTTTTAATTACTCCATGAGTTCATTTAGGGCGGTTGATGTAACATTTCCTGTGGCCTACATTGTGTGTGCTCATTATTGCTGCCGAGCGAAGCCACAGATGAAGTATATACCAGGGGCCGGTTGTACGAAAGGTGGATAAATCGCTATCCGGTGGATAAGTCCCTATCCAGCGGATAAATTTTATCCAGATTGAAAATCGCGTTGTACGAAGCTTGGATAGCGCTATCCAACGGATAAAAATGCACTATCCGTTGGATAAATTTATCCGAGGTCCGGAGGTAGTTTAAATCCACTATCCGGCCGATAAACTCAAAGTTTGAAGACAAAACAATGTGTATTTCATTTAAAAGGGATTGCTATTGTGATAGAAATGGACAAATACCGTTTAGAAGTCCCTTTTTTGACACTAAATAAACATGGAAACTTACTTATGACTTCTGTCTTGCTCTTGACGTACCGAGCTCACTTTGAGTCACTTACCCATTAAATAATGCCATAACTTTGCCATATTTTACGCAGACCAGTGTCAGTGCTTATACGTTAAGTTTTCTGGCTTTTTCCCTTCTTCTTTCCTATTATATAGCTCGAAAACAAGCAATAAAACTTTCATTAAATGAGTTCCCTTCAACGTCAAACAAATATAGCTGCATATATTAAAGGTAGCGCAAAACACAAAAACCTTTTGGTTTCTCTTTTTTTTTTTTCTTTTTTTTTTTAATTTTTTTTGAAATTTCAAAGAACTTTTATTAAAAATACACATTAAAATTATAGTTACAATAAAAAAAATGTTTAAAGTTAAACGATTAGTTGCATCTGTTTATTAGTTTTCCAAACGAGTTCGTATGTTCCTATACAATTACAGTTTAAATTTTGTTCAGCAAGATACACGTCCTTCAACTAGTGCTAGTTCAATCTCCCCACCAAAGGAATTAATTGGATTGTGGTGGGAAGATCTGGATCCACGTAGGCACATTATCGCTGATCGTAACAATGAAAAGCTAAGTCGGCACCTAAGCCAGTTTATTGTCTTGCTATATGGCTTGCCGTGTTTTTCAGCGATCAAGGATGCTATTCTCTTGTAGACCACGTTTGCAGTGGCACCCATACCACCCGCTGTCGAGAAGACCAGCGGAGAAAATGACCCGTGTTCTACCTCTCTAATTCTTTCGTCGTACGCTCTTCTTTTCTCCAGTTCATTCTTACGATAGCACTGAGAGAGGGAGGTGTTTCGATAGCTCGGTGCGAAAGGGTTGAACACCCTGACGTCAAAAAATGCACGTTGCCGATCGCGCCCCCAGAAACTTTCTGCTACAACATCCAGTCGAGCACCATCTTCTCTATTTGCTGATCTGTATGAAAACACTTCATCAGTTACAGGTTGTAGGCCTGGTTCGACACCAACTCCATAGCATACCTCCGTCAAAAATTCAGCAGTAATATCTCTTATCTCGTTGTGTCGGATTGAGGGAAAGCCTCCTCGTGAGCAACTTAATGCAT